ACATCTCATCTTCTTCCAGTCAGTAAATGCCTTGTGAATTGCTATTTCTACAGTAAAATAGCTTAAACGGGGAGTGGGGAGTGATTATTAGGGCAGTATTTTTTAAGGTGAGAGACTCTACTTGAAGGCTTTCCAGAAAAGATTTTTCCTGCTTCCTGAAAGAGTGCTAATGTCATCTTTTAGCCTTTGATGAGTGAGTCACTTTCAACATCAGAAATGTTTGTCCAAAGCTGTGTATCTTGAACTATGTGTAGGTGCCTACATATAGTCCTGCTCCTAGCCTCGAAGCAGGGCACGGAGTTGTGCATATTTGTCTGTGGTCTTGAGGTGTTCACTGAATTCTTACGTTTTGTTTTCTCAGATGCCTAAAATGCCCCATTTTTATAAGGAACTCAAATTTCTAAATATACATCTAAAGGTTTTGTCTAATATTACAAATTGAAGGCCTTTATATCTAATCCTACAAGAACAAAAGCGGCTCAGAGGATGAAATCTGTTTCACTTGTTGTCTTAAGTAATTTCTCTTTTAGTTTAAAACATGACTCAAAGAAAAAACCCTCACCCATATGATTTAGCAGTCTTTCAGGAACAATAATAAACCAAAACTAGAACTCCAGTTTTGTCTTTAATTTATAAGGATGTCTAATAATTAAGAGCCCTTTAAATTAAGATGTAATAAATCTGAAGAAGATGGATTAGAAGCTGAACTAAAAACATGATGGTCTAAGAGATCAAAGTGTATTATGGCACTGACACTGTATATTGAAGAAGGGAAATGTAATTGTTTTATAAAACATGGAAGTTCAAAACCTTTAGGAAAAACTGGTGTTACACAAAGTTCACAAGCAGTCTGATTTACTGGGAGGACAGATGATAATTGTATATAAATACGACACTATGGGTATGAATACTCATAGTGAGGGTGATGGAGCACTGGCACAGGTTACCCAGAGAGGTCATGGGGTCTCCACCGTTGGAGATACTCAGAAACTGTCTGGACATGATCCTATGCAAGGCAGCTAGCTCTAGGTGGCCCTGCTTGACCAGAAGGTTGGACCAGATGTCCTTCAGAGATCCCTTCCAACCTCAACCATTCTGTGATTCTGTGAAATAAAGGTTTGAAAGAGTAGTCTTCCAAAATCAGTTGAGAAGATAGGCTTCTTATCAACTAGTTTACATAACTTTCAGGAACTTCAAATACAAATGGAACAAATTGTGTGACACTCCAGAACTAAGAATCTCACTCAACACCTGCCCAAATAAGATGATGATTCTCCTGTAGACTTTTTCAGCTGCGATTAGTAGACAAGGTTTTTAAGTATTGTCATACCTGAGGCTGACAAATTTCAACTGAGTGGTGTTTTGAGGATCTGTGCTCTTGAAGAAAAAAAAAATATTTAAGTTGACAAAGAAAAAACATTCCTAAGTTGTTACAGGCAGTTTTTCCCTCCATTGTTACAGACGCATATCAGGAGTGATGACTATGTTAGGTGACAATATGCTATTCACAGTGTAAGTCAGTTCTCACAGAATATAAATTCTGAGTACATTTTCTGTCCTCTTAAAATTATATCTTCAGTACAGTCGTTTCCAGATCAAAGGGATATTTTTGTTTGAAGTTTATATGATCTACAACAGTTGCTTTACATAGAGCTGGATTGTTCAACTTCCTATTTTTATCCTGCTTTTTCAGAAAATTTAGTATGTTGAGGCACTGCACCTTGTCATATAGGCACCAGAAACTTTCTTCAGCCTTGTTGTTATAATAGGGCTTATACTGAGTGATAGTCTAATGATCACATTCATTAATGTCGTGAAAATGGGATGTTCAGTGTTATACCCTGATATGAATTTCACTTGGGGTGATCACTTCAGATACTTGCAACCTTTTATCTTAGTATTTAAAAGATTTCAAATTATCATGTTTATTAACTTGAAAAATTTATTATTTATTAACAAAATAATAATGTAAGCTCCTCCTAATTTTCAGTATTATACATACAAGCGATTTCATTTGTCTAAAGCAAGCTTGTTCTCCAGTTGTTGCAATTGTAGTTAAGTCCTCGAGGAGAATATAAGTCAGGCTTCGCTGTAGAAAGCTCTAAAACTGCGATACTCCCTCAGGCTGGCTGCTTGGTTTTACTGGTGTAGTGGCTTCAGGCAAGCACCAAGAGGAGCCTTCTGTCCATATTCCATAATACGGTATGCTGCTTTAATTGATCTTGGAGGAGCAGCACAAATGAAAATTAGTTCAGTCTGTGTTTAATACATGGATTTGAAAAACATTAAATATATTTAATGTATTAAAATTAAAGGTTTTAACATACATTTTGAGTCAGCTTAAAAACCTGCTGAATTTTGAAGTACACCTGGGGAAGCTATAATGTTGATGCAGAATGGCCTTATCTTACACTTTCTTTTATAGGTCATTTCTAAAAATGAGTAAGTAAACTATCTAATAAATTTATACGACTATATATATATCAGTCAACTATTAAAATGTTTTTTTATGTTTTAGATGCATCTTTATTACCAATTTAAATTATTAATTATCGTCTCTTATTCCCTATCTCCAGAGCAAACTAAAAAAAAAAAGATTTAATTACTGCCACAAGAGTTACTATTTTATTCAAAATATTGTCTCTTGACTCTTCAAGGTGGGAGGTTTTAATAAGTAAACAGAAAACCGACCCCACAAACTTTTTAATTAAATGTTTTTTGTAACTTAATGGTGCAGCATGTGTATATATCAAAGTGCCTACTTCAGAAACTTAGTGTACAAAAACAAGCTCCTTGTAACTTTATTACATATAACTTACGTTACTCAAATGTAACTCCTGTAACAGCTTAAAAAAAACTGTTGAAGGAAGGGGATATTTTAGCAGAATTAGGTATGCAAAATGTAATGGTTGTGGCATTTATCAACTAACGAATACTTTGCCTGCTTATTAAGCATCCTTGCGATCTCCATTAGAAAATGGGCTGTGATGTAATTTGTTTCTTGGGCTCGAGAAGAGTGCTTATGATGGATCTCGAGCAGCCTTCTCTGATACTAGACCATTATTATTCAATGAAATGGTCAAAGAGGAGTGATTGACTGAAAAATACTGCTGTTCCATAGTTTCAAGAGTGCTGAGCACCTAAGCTTATGAAAATACTAAAATGAATACAGGTGCTGCAGGTTAAAATACCCTTTGGCAAAAAGATCTCTGTCCATAATGCTGTTCAGTTTCGTAATTCTGAAGTAAGACTGTGTATGATCTGTGCTGTCTGTGACTGTCTAGCTAATAATCATGCTAATAATTTTCTACCTTCTTGTTTAAAAGATCTTCCATCTTGTAGACAAGACTGTATGATCTGTGCTGTCTGTGACTGTCTAGCTAATAATCATGCTAATAATTTTCTACCTTCTTGTTTAAAAGATCTTCCATCTTGTAGACATGTTTCATTCTCCTCTATAAATTAGTCATATAAGACTTAACTTTATTAATGTCATTGGGTAGCTTTGCTTTGGATGCAAAACTTAACTTATGAAACGGTTCAAACACACATCACCCTTTTGTACTTCTTAATTTACTTCCTGATTCCTCATTACCGCAGAGTTCAGGAAGATGATTTCTGTCTGTCCTAAGGAAACCACTTAACAGATTTCATATGTTATTATTTTTTAAATTTTTTATGTAAATGTTTCTTGGTATATCTGAATTCTTACTGTCTTTCTGTAATGCAGCTCTGGTATGGCCCAAAGCATTGTATAAATTATGCATTTTGAACTGAAAATTTGTGTGCAGAACACTTTGAAAAAAATTTTTTTTTTTTTGCTTTATGTGGTCAATATTTTCCACTTAAGAGGTGAGTCGAGAATGTTCCTCAAAACTGGCTTCCTAAGAATTATGAATTGTACTATTTTGATTTCTGTTGACAACATTTTTGTTTGTGTATTTATATAATATTTAATCTTCAGATTATCTAAATGTTTTAGTAGAATTTTTTGAAGTTGCTGGTGTTTTGGTTGTTCATTTTGCCGCCTATTGCATCTCACATACAGTTCAGTACTATTAAAAGGAAGTATGGTGAATAATCTCTAGTAAAGGTCTGAGCAACATTGTAAACAATATAGCTGCATACAAGCTCTTGATAGGAAGGGAAGTTGCCTTGAGCATTTGAAATGAGATATATGTAAGTTTTTTGTCAAGTTAATGCTGCAGAAACATTTTAAATGTAGTCAGTTGATCTGAGAAGGGAAAGGTAGTGATAAAATGATGCAACTCTTGCATTTTAGTGCTGAAAAAGTGTAAGACAAACTTTGGCACATTTGAAATACAGTTTCAGGTAGAATTGTAGTGATGGTTCTTCAATGTATTTGAAAACTGTTGATAAATTTTAACGTTGCTTAATGAACTTTGAAACAGCTTTGAATTCTTCTTTGGAATTTAGTGGCTTCAAAAGGTCTTAGGACCGTGAGTCTTATTTTCCCCTTGGTAAACTTAACGTATAGCTAAAATAACATATTTGATACAACAGCAACCAAATGGGATAATAAAAGCAATGCAATGTGTGTATTAATATCTTAATTTGCTCACAAAGTCTAAAGAAGGCATAAAGAATTAGTAGTATCTGTTATATAACTGTGCATTTATTGTCTACTGACCAGTTTCAACATTGATTCAGTCTTTGTGAATATACTGCGTATGTTTAAAAAAAAAAATAACAGGAAAAAACTCATCTTGTTTATTATCTTGTACTCTTAAATTTGAAATCAACTTTCCTTTTTTAAACCCGTAATTTCAGATTGGCAGCTGAAGATCTAAAATACACAGTTATGAGTCTTGCAAAAACCAGTGGATTGTATTTTTTTTGAGAGCTGCTTAGCCTCTTCTAGAGATTGCACTTAGAGATTCTGCGCCCCACCCCCCCTCCAAGTTTTGCATCAAGATTTGATGCTATGTGAAGTTAAGGAATTATGTTTTCCTTTCTTTCTTACATTCCTTCTTCCACAGGTAAACTATTTCACATTGACTTTGGTTATATTTTGGGTCGGGACCCTAAGCCTCTACCTCCCCCAATGAAGCTCAATAAGGAGATGGTGGAAGGTATGGGAGGCACGCAGAGTGAACAGTACCAAGAGTTCCGTAAGCAGTGCTACACAGCCTTTCTCCATCTCCGCAGGTAACAATACTATTTTGATGCTAAAGTTTATTAGAACCACCATAAAGCAGGAAGAGGAGTACATGAATCAGAGAAAATATTTCTGTTAAAAATGCAAAACTTGTTTCAAGTCTGAACATAGACACAGGAACTTGTACAAAACAAAGGAATGAAAACATCGCAGCATTCGTGTAACGTAGAGCTTGAATGTAATTATCCTTCAAGTTAAGGCCCCTAGTTTTGCTTTTTTAATAACCTAAATAGCTTTTTCATCACTCTGGGGTATTAAATTGTATCTTGCTTTTTGGATATGTTTTTGCCCTTAAGCAACATTTTCTTTGATTGTTGATGATCAAGTAACTCCTTTTCACTCTAAGTCATTACTCATTTGCTGCTTTCTCCTCACCAGTTTAGATTAGTGATGATCACATTCTTTGGCTTGAAGATGGCATACATAAGCTTAGTTGGGCTCAGGTCCTGTGGGACGAAAACTAACTACTTGTAGTGAAAATCACGTATGTTAGCAGTTTCTGTAGATACCTGGAACTGTGACAGCTAAAACTTCTTTAGACTGTATTTATTTACTGACCAACAGATCTCTCCTTTAGACTTGGAATCAGCTTCATTCTTTTGCAGTGACCATATCGCTTAACCATCAACTTTCTGAGCCAAGTAGCTCAGCTTTGTTCTGTGTGAACAGAACACAAGTAAGCGCTTTTGGTCCATCCAGTGATTAATTTAATACATCTTCCATAGAGATGAGAGAATTTCACTTTGGTATCAAGATTTCGTAATGTAAACCTCCAAAGGTGTGGAAAAAATTTATTAATATAAAAAACATATATGAAAAGTACATGTAGTATGAAAAGTAGATGTGGTCAATGATCTGAAATAAAAATGCCGCAGGTAGTTCTCTCCTTGTTAAAAGGAGAAAGAGTAAGGAGTTGGTTTATGAACTGACATTGTTAATGGGTTAAAAGCAAATCACCAGCATGAAAAAAAACAGCGGCATGTTATCAGGAAACAATATTCATGACTTCAGAAAACAATCAGGGAGGCTAATGTATATTCCATGTTCTAAATTTTGCTTAAAACTGTTTTGTAATACTCTGTTCCTTGTTTGTGAAATACTTGTGTTGTTTTTATTGTTTAGGCCTAGCTGTTTCAATGGAAAGGTCTGTTGTGTCAGCGAAGGATTATCCATTGCATTAATTTATGTAATGATTTGCTACAGATACCATCATTAAGTGTGGAATGTAGCAGTAATTTAGGTATAAAACTAAACTGTAAATCAAGATGGTTTCATGTTTAATGTCAGGGATTGTAGTTGTAATTTTAGTCTATCCAATATTTGTTCAGTTTAATAGGAAAGCATTTTTAAATGGTTCTGGATAAATATCTTTAAGGCTTTCAACAAAGATAGAAATACTGCTATTACTGTAACTACTACATTAAGTAGCTAGAACTACAAATGATTAAGTTTATTTGCTTATTGAAAAAAAGAATAATTCTAGGTGGAATGGCTTAGCTCTAACAGTTCTGCCTGTTGACACAAACCCATTTACAGATTCTGGCCAAGTAGCATGACCTCATAACCTCTGATTGCCAAGACTAAATGCAAACTCTGTCATCTCCATCAATTTGGATCTTATCCTTTCTTCTTTATTTCCCTGGGGTATACACAGTTCTCTACGTATTTCAAGTGCTGTATCTCAGTGTTTTAGGATTCCTGGTAGTATGGGTGTTGCACAGTGAAAACAAATAAAAACAGTTTAAAACTTGTAAGTGGAAAATTCATTTTGTACATGGGTTTAGGCTGGAAGCAGTTTGGCTTACGATCATTAGTGTGCAGTTTGTTGGGTTTGTTTGTTTTTTTTTCAGAGGGTGAAGGAGATGCTTTCCACTTTTTTGAACAAGAATGATCCATTGTGTGTTTGTCAGTAGTGCTATAATGAAGGAGCAGCCTCTGAGTTCTGAATGTGCTGCAAGGCAAATTGTGGCTGGCAGCAGAACTTGCATCCTCACTTGGGCTGTAGCAGTCTTTTTACACCTTCATTATACCCATTGAGCCTGTTAAAAAGATGTTCAAGTCTTGTTACGTGTCAGCATTTCCCTTCCCCTGTGAATTCCCAGTTTACAAATCCCCAGCAGGATCCAGCAGAGAAGAATCCAGCATCAGCATTTGAGAGCTTTTCCCAGAGTGAGGTTCTAGATTGTATTATTCCTTCCCAAATAAGGGTTTGCCCTGCGTTAGTTTGATACTTGGTTGGAGTTAGTGGGCATAGGTAGGGACAAAGGAGTAGGAGGTAACTAGAGACAGAAGCTGTAATTTGAGCTGAGATTTGCACTGTGTGGATGGGGATATCCAGCTGGCTGGACCAGTGTTTTTTCCCATTTTCTTTTCACAGATCACAGAATCGTTAAGGTTGGAAAAGACCTTTAAGATCATCAAGTCCAACCATCAACCCAATCCATCAAATCAATGGTGTGGTGGACAGAGGAGGCCATATAGATCTGAACGAAAAAAAAAAGAAAAGGCAAACTATAGGCAACAAGTGGAAAGCTATGATGGCCCTTGGGAAGTGCTGATTCTTTGGAAAGGTTGTAGCTGGGCAGTGCAGGGTCTCTGTGTTTTTAGCACTTCATGTTCAAGCTGTAAGTTTAATCAACCTCCAGTGCAGCTGAGTGCTCGTTTATTTTGTAAATTAATTTGTACAGGTCTTTGAGGAAAACAAAGAATGCATTTATGTGAGAAGGATTCAAGGTCAGGTTTAGGTGCTTTAATTGATGCTCCTTAAACCTAGAAAAACTGAGCTGCTAGTTCGTTCTGGCTATGGATGTAGGTCAGCCATTCCAGAGGCCTTTGTAACACAGATGTCAAAGATGAGCGATATGACTTGCCTGATAAAGGTACTTGTCTGTTTTTTACAGAACAAATTACTAAGGTTTTTCAGCAAAATGTCTAGGGTTAGGATGAATTTGGGCTGTCAGTTGACCAGTTGTGAACACCTTGGCATATTTGCCAAGGATGTTGCCTATGGGAAGCATGACAGCCAACTGTCTATAAAGTAGGAAGCTCTTACCTCTCCTGTCGAAGTCCCAGGTTTTGAATAAATTTTCTAAAAACCTGTGAAATGTGACAAGGATCCTAGAGGCAGCTAACAAATTTACGTGATAAGCTCTGTTTCATCCTTAGACCACTATATAATTGGTTACTAAGTTAAAGGAATGTTGGGATGAGGGGCAGAGGAAAGACCTGCAGATAGTATGGTGAACAGCTCTTTCCTGATTTTTGTCTCTTCCTACCGCATACCACCCCCAAAATTACCTTTTCTTGAATTTTTTTTTTTAAATTAGGTTCTTCAGATGATCTTATGCTTTTACTATAAGCACCAAGAGCCAAAAGACTTCATTGTAGGGAACAGAACCAGCTCTTACCTGGCATCTAGCAATGATGCCTAGACCTTTAAAACCTCTTTTACAAACGTCTGCCACTTGAATGACCCCAGTAACCTGTAGTGCTCATAAGCTCTTACCCTCTGTGTGGTTCAAGAGCAAAAGGCACTCTGAGACTCTGGACTCCTAGGTCAGTTCAAAGGGAGAACTACCAATGGAAGCTACCAGTGATCTAGGAAGAGACTTAAGAGAATGTAGCTGTAAGCTTTAAGTATGTTTAAAGTAAGAGTTGCTTGTTTCAGGCAAGTAGAAAAAGTTTTTGTTAAAACCTGTGGTGTCTTGTCCTGGCACCAAAGCAACTTGTCTGCCAGATTTCTTACCCAGAGCTAAAACAAAAGGTAGTGTAGCTTTTCTTTCTTTCTTTCTACCTTTTAATCTGTGAAAAAAAATACTTTCCTGATTTCAGTCCCTCCCCCCCAGGAAAGTGATGCAGAACAGCTGAAACAAATCAGACACAAAACATTTCTGCCCAAACAGTTTATTTTAAATGTTTGTGTTATAAAGGGTTAAAACTTAGATGGAATTATGGTTTTCTAGAGAGATTTTTGTTGAGCAGTATTTACTTTATAAAATATGGCTATGAAGCAGTCCTTTTGTGTAGTTAAAATACTTTGTACTCCTTGCAATTGTCAGCTTATATATATTCAGCAGCTTGCTAATAAACAAGTTTTGCTGTTAAGAATTCATTTTCTATCATCTATGAAGCTCCTAGTGCTCTTAGCAAAATAATATTTCAGATTTTGAAATCAGTTATGCACTTTGTTTCTGAAAGGGGACAGGATCTCTTTACCAGAGGAAGGGAAGTTTCAGCTTATGTTGAACAGCTTGAAAATTATCCTTTCATAAAGCAACTTGCAGCTAATTTCCTGCAAGGGCAAAATGGTATTCTTTAAAAGATTTGTGAGTACTTCCAACACCATGTTAAAACTGAAAACTATACTCTGTCTTGTCTTTTATAATGGTTATAAGTGACATTTGCACTTCATAAGTGTAGCATGCTTACCAATGTTATTGCAGCTTAACTGAACAACTGCAGACTTTGTTCTGATTAAATCACTTATGTTCAACTTGTTATGGCAAAGCCCTTGCAACAACTTGAAAAATGATTTCTTGTAATTGTGAAGACTTCAGCTGTTTGAATGCTAATTTACATAGTGCTGCTGTATTACTGATATCCTTTTTAATAAAAAATAACCTTTGAATCAATATTCCAGCATATGTTTGTCCTACTAGAGGTAGAAGACGGTATTAAATTTTACAATATTTGGAATCGTAGTTTATATTTTATGTGTATCTGAATAAATGTTCTGACAATTTTTATAAAATCACAACAAAAAAACAGAGCAGTCTCTTCAGTTTTGGTAGTTTGAGACAGCGTGAGGGTTAAACTTACCTGATATCAGCAGTGAATCTTATGTTTTTAACATAAATATTTTCAACTACGCTGTTATGAATGTATTTCATCTGAAGAAGCATTTTGAGTTCACACTAAAATGATGATGAGTTCTTAATTTAAGTTGTTAACAAAATGTCTTTTGTGCAATTTACAAAGTGTTTTACCTAATCTGCTCTTCTGCTTAGGTATTCCAACTTGATCTTGAACTTATTTTCCCTCATGGTGGATGCCAACATTCCAGATATTGCTCTTGAACCTGACAAGACTGTAAAAAAGGTAACTGGAAAGCTTTCCTTGTCTTTCAATAGCCTAAGTCATCATGTCATGAAATTTTCAATCACTTGTGGTGACTGACTTGTAAGTGGTGACCTGAAAATACTTGCTCCTGTTTTGTAAGTCCTGAGTGATTTCTGGAATCGTTGAAGTTAAAGATAGGAGAATATACTTTTGAGATCACTTAGTACATGTGCCCATAAATACAGAATTGCTCTTTATCATCCATGCAGTAGTGCAGAGTCTGCTCTAGCACCCTGTTCCAAGTGGTATTTTAGCATTCTGCTAAATCCAGAATGTAATCTGTAAAGACTTACAGTAATCCCACCATATGAAATTTTTGATAAGTGAAGCAGTCAACACTGACTATACTGTGGAAGATTCTGTCTTGTCTAGAATCCTGCAAGTCATGGATGGTCTTATAAAACCAGTTTACTGGTAGGTATAAACCCAGTCTATTAAACATATGAAACCAGTAGACTGGTGTATCTTCATCATCATGAAACTTTTGTTTACTGTGAAAACAAACTCTTCTGTGAAATGTGTCCAATAATTCTAATTTTGTCCCTTTGCACCAGCCTGAATCATTCTTCTCCATTTGATGTTTCAGCAACAACTGACACTAAAATATACTGGATGAATATTCATCTGTCTTTCATTACACATAAATTTTAGGCAATTGTCTGTTTTTTTATAACCTGATTTACAATGAGGGACTGTCTGCTCCACAAAAGACTGTGGAGCCTGTGTATCCAATGGAGATCAGTTCAGTGTAATTTTTATTCGAGCAGTGGATTTTCTCTAACATAGCCTGTTCTTCAGTGTTTTCAGTAAGCTATGAAAAATGAGGTTCAGAATCTTTAAATTAATGTTTCACGTTCTATTACAAAGACCTTAAAAAAAACTAAACTGTGACTTGAACCAAATCTTTCCTTTTGCCTGTGAGAATCCGAGCATTTCTGTTCAGAGTTTCTTGGTTTCAAATTGATACAAAGAGTTCATGTAGCTATTCAGAAAGACTGGGATAGCCAGAAGTGCTGTGTTTTGTGGTAAAGATGACAACTCTCCCTCCACTTCATTGTTTTTTTGGTTTGTTTTTTTTTTTTTTTTGAGAAACTGACAGCTAATGCTTTTTCTATATGAATATTTGAACCTCGCTTCTGTCCCTAAACGCCCTGCAAAGATTGAATAAGTTACTCATGTAAGAACATGGGAGATAGAGGCTTAAAGCAGAAAACCAAAATGGTTCAATACCTACCAAGTTGTAGATGATGGGAGTAACTGCATTTTTGTAGAGACCTTCTTTTGAAGGAAGAGACCTTTCTAACAGTATGCTTGCAGCACATGTCTATGAATTTCATCTTTCTAAAAATTACATGTTTTGTCCTGGCTACCTATTAGAAAAATGGAAAGATGTACTTTTTTTTTTTTTTACTTCAGTGATACAGTAAGGATGGGAAAACCTTTTAGACTGCAAAGTCTACAAATAGATACACAGTAAATCCTGGGAAAAATTGAAGTATGTATCTACAGGTAGTGCAGGGGCTAATTTTGAAAAGTTTGTCATTGACTGAGATAGTCACAAGAGATCAAACTGATGGTTTCATTGAATTCCAGAAGTGTTGGTTCTTTCATGTTTGCAGCAATAAGTTTGAGACTGGCTACATATTTTAATCTTACTAATCTTTGTCCAGCATTCAGTGTTGCTTTACATGATAGTGTTCACTCTGGCCTCCAGTGCTGTCACATGAGCTCTGACATTTTTTAATCAAACGAAGTCTCCCAGTGGTCCCTGCCAATTAAGATGTAATATTCTTGTTTCTTATTAGTATCTTGGCATTGCATTTTATGGTTGTAAACTCTGTAGAAGCACTGTCCAAGGATATATTGTTTTCTGTGATTAATGATAATAGGAAGTTAGATTCTGTGAAATATTTGCGAAGGATTGTTCTGACTTAGCACCATTTGAGTATTTTACACACTTCCAAAACTCTCTTACTTTATCTAAATTTCCCATATAGTTTTCTCAAAATAACAAATCAAGATACAGAATTAAAAGCCAACAAGTCTTTTCTACAGCTGCTAAGTATGTTACAGTTTACTGATGTATAGTAGTTAAAAATCAAGATTATGTAAAGCCTGATTTACATAAGCATAAAGCATGGAAGGAAGCAAAATCTAAAAAGTTCTAAGAGCTGTGAATTAGATCAATGTGGTTACTTCTGAATTCCCTTACGAAGTACAAATAATAGTGTCATCTTTGTGTTAAAAGAACGTACGTTTATTTGGTGTATGACAGTTCACTGTTAGATCAAATGCAGCAATTAGTTATTGGGATACTGAGCTCTGACCATGGTGCAGCTTGGTGAACTGCAACTTTTACCCTCACGATGTGTTCAAGTCTGACTATTCACAGAGGCTTTAAAACGTGAGAAGATCTAGAACTGAACCAGTAAGGCAAGTTATTTCTCATAAGGAATGCAAATCACTTTCACGTATTCAGATTTTTTGAGAGGAAAGGATTTTACTTTCCCAAGTTCTGTAAGTTCATTTACAGTGTGCTTGTTACTTTAAAAACAAAACCAAACCCACACAGTAAGGTTTTACCAGAAAGATAACCAAATTGTTTAGCTTGTTCATAAATGTTTCCTTTGTAATTCATAGACTCCTCAACCCTCCCCATTACTTCATATAAATTCTCTTTTTTTCTGGCAGCTCTGCAGTTTTCAACTCCTGTTAAGTTTTCAGGTTTGGTCCTTCTGGTTCAAAAACTGTCCTTTGAATATACTCCTGGAATTTATGCAAAAATAATACATCATAATGAGTTCTCTAACGAGTAGGTGAACAGAGGACCCTTCCATAAAACAGTTGTTGGCGTTACGATCTACTGGATGCTTTACAACTATGTTCAAAGCTGCTGTGACAGTAATTGTATTCTTTTGTTCTCAATTTTTGGTTTTTACTTTTTTGCTTTAAAAAAACAGCTAGCAAATCAGCTGTAAATGGGCTAGGATCAGAATAATCTTAACCCATTATAGAATGGTGAATAGGCGATTGTTTTGTGGTTGTTTGATTTTTTTTAAACAATGTCTTAGAAAATTTGTTTTGGATATTGTGTCCTTAGCCGGTCTCAAATAAGTTATAAGCTTTGTTAATACTAATAAAAAAAGGAACAAGGTGTCTTGCATCTCTTGAGCTGAGTGTCAAGTTTCTTCAGTCATTTAACAAGATAATACTGTACCTTGTTGTAGGAAAATTGAATAAATGCTTTCAGCATCTCAATTGATTATTTTTTTTTTCTTAAAGCTTTAAACAAAAAATCCATATATATTTCAACAGAGTCAAATTAGCTGAAGATCCATTTTGGACTGACCTGTAAAATTAAATTACCTTTGATGTGTGAGTCCAGTCAATAACCATTTCAACCGTGATACCACTCTTGTGGAAGACAAAGGTGGAGATGTACAAATGTTTTTGTATCTAAAAAGGTATCCTGCTTAATAGGGTAGGTGGAAGTTCATAGCCAGCATTTTCCTTATTGGTGCTGTAGTTATACTAATTTTCTGTTTTGTAGAGCCCTCATTTTTGCTTTAGGGGGCTGGTGAGCCAGCGAGGCTCTGGTCTCGCGGCTGAAGTCAAGTCACTGAGGTAACAAGATAAAGGTAATCTTATCTAAATTTGGTGATAAATCAGAATACTAGTTTGATTAAACTACAAGGAAATTTGTATAGTCAGAAAAAAAAAGATTTTTTTTCTTTTTAAAGAACGGAATGCTTACTGAAGGGAGTATTATGCTTCAGTTATTTTGGTGAACAATTCGTTTGGTAGAAATCCTGGAATTTTTCACTACGTGCAGCTATACTGCTGTTACTAAGTAGGCATGAATTATTCTGAAGACTATTTCTAAAGAAAGATTTTTTTTTTTTTGAATGGCCACAGTTTCTCATTACACTGTTAGGTGGTAGCTCAGGTTCCAGTCTAATCTTTAGCTTCACAAAGTGACATAATGCATCCTCACTTCTGGTAGGCAGGGAGGTGCTTTATGTTGCAGGAAATATCTGTCTGCTGGTGAAAAATACAGTAAGATGTGAAAACATACTAGCAAGTAAAGCCATCTCTGGAAATATTTTTGGTGTTGCCCTTTTCTAAACTTCCAGAAAGTAATCTACCAAGTTTTTAGAGCCAGAAGAAGGGTTTAATTTTTGTAATCATATATATATTTTAAATAAAAATAACATTTGCATACACCATATGATAACGATGGCTGGAGTAAAATAAACTGAAATAGAATAAAGAACACTACTGTCATTTTGTATGGCTTGATTTCTTGTGCTCTTTTGTCACTTCCTGTGATATGTCCGTGTATTATAACAGGATGCTCATTACTTAGACTGAAAATATGGTTGGAAGTCAGCAATCCTGGGACTTTGTTTCCTGATTTGTCCAAACAGAACAAAGTAAGATCATAAAAGAAAGTATTATGTGGAACATGTCCTCTTCAGTCAGGCATTGGATGCTTTGAATTCTGAGGAGTTTTGGGGTTTTTTTTAAGAATTTCAGACTGGTAGGTTAAATGAGAATTTTTAAAAAAATCTGAGTGCAGAAAGCACTCTCAAGGAGTATCATTACTAACCTGAGGAACAAAAGGGAAGGCAAGATCTTGAGAGTTGGAGACTGGTTTTGCCAAAATATGTATCTACCTTCCAGTAAAACATGACATCTCAAGGAGTTAACTGACAGGATGTAATATAATCAAGCTTGAAACCTAAATGAAAGCATGTTGTCTGGGTATTGTTTCTGTCCAATAGTTGTGAAATGTCTTGGGAGAAATATGTATTGAGTCAAGGCAAAATTGAAACAGCAGCTTGTGTCATGTACAACTTATTTTACAATAACTATAGATTACACCTGTTTGACATGGTTTATGGCACAGGATGGTGTAAGCAGAGCTGGGCGCTCTGTTCCTGTCATCTGTGAAGGTACTTTCACGTTCTTCTCTACAC